CCTTAATTATAATGACCACCAAATTATTCTCTATCGATTCCAATTATTTTTGATTTTTTTAAGAATAACTTCTGCTCATTATTATTGACAAAAAAGAAAAATCAATTACACGTAAACTTATTACTCCCAAATTCTGATAATGTTCTCCTACATTTCACCAAATTACCACCTGCATATTTATATGAAGAAAAAAGTTAGAAAAGTTAATAAAAAAAAATAGATTTCTTCCAAATGCACAGTGCTCCGGGGCCCTCGATGAAACGGCTACGGTCAATTCGGTTATCGAGGTCGGTAATATAACCCTACCGCCACCTCTCGGCATTTTCCGAACGCGGTTTTCATGCTCACTTCTGCCCATTATATATTTTTTATAATTTATTCCAAAATAATCAAACAAACATCGCCAAATGCATCAAATAATCCACCTTATTCATCCCACATCATTCTTTCATCAGTTTTCATCGATTTCTACCTGTTTTTCATCAAAAAATTGCATCCACGCAACATCCACGCAACAAACACGCTACATCCACGCTATAGAGTGGATGATCGTTTGCTACGGTTATTCCTCACTTTTCAGTAGATGAATTCTGATTTCCTGATTCATTCTTCAATTTACATGAAGTGCCAATATAACCATAAAAATTCAATTAGGAATTTTCCAGAGATTTGAAGAAATTGAAAGTTCAAGGATGTTGCTGCCTCAATTTTTCAAATTTCCAATAATTTTCATGAAATAATTTAACTGAAACAGATTATTGCCAATAACTTTCAATGCAAATCTTCCCCGAAATTTCAGTGAAATCACTTTTTTGATTTTTTAAGGCTTCAATCAAGAAACTTCATTTACAATTGTTTATCAATTGTATGACATTCATTTTGTTGTTCGGGAAAAGTTATCTTCAAGCCTAGCCGTGGAAAACAGATCATTCCTCATGGGGGAAGGGTGATATATTTTCCACCGCGTAGCTTTAACAAAATTTTTCCAGACGCAGGGCCTGGGCTACGCGTCCAGAAAATGGTGTTTTCCAGGCGCTAGTCTGGAAAAGTCATATTTGTGATAAATTATTTATTATTTTCGATTGCAGAGATCGTAGAAATCAACGATTGTGGCAGTTATGACTTTCATTAATTTTTACGATTTTTGTCATGCGTCAAAATTGCTATGTAGAACCTGAATCTCATATTAAATCAACCTTGTTGAGTTTTTTTATCTAGTTCTCGAATTGATTGCTTCAGCTTCATTTCGTTAACGTCATAAATGTTGCACTCTGTGAAGAGTACTTCAGCATAGAACAAATCGTTAAAAATAAAAGGAAAATTGACCATAACAGAGAAAGTGTGAAGGAACATTAGAATATGAGGATGAACCTGTCATTACCAGTGAACTGCCAGATACGGGGATGCTCGCCGAATTGTCGGTGCAAAACGCGGTGATAAGATTCGATTTTATTATTCGTCCTTTCCCTGCATTGGTAAACGGATAATTTTTCAGGTGTGAATCTCCCCAACCGAGTATTCTTGAAACACTGAATCAAATCAGCGAAGAAAGCCTGAATGTCCGGGGCCGTATTATCGACTACCCATCCAAAGGCCCCAAGAATATGTGTAGCAGGCAGAAGTGTGATTGCATATATTTTTCTATAGAAAACTTTGGCTTGTCTTCCGTTCTGCAGTTTTTGGAAACCTCGAGTTCCGAGTTTGCTCTTGATCCGCCTCAATACAGCCTGTAATTGGAGCTTATTTAGTTTAGTTTTAGTTAATTTTGCAGTAGTTACGGGACAATTGTTTTTTGGATGTGTAAAATGGAGATGTTATTGATAATTGTATGATTAAACGAACTTCTTGAAGTGAAGTTCTATCATAATTGTATGAAGCGCCTCTATTGAAGAGAAGTCTTTAAAGTATTCCAAATTTTTTGGTGACTGGCCTATAGGCCTGCGTAATACTCATTTGAATTTAAAGTCTTCACCGTAAAATGTAATACGGGTTTCTTGCAGGAAACAAGAAAAGAAGGGCAATGATATGTAATCGGGAGGGATGGATCTCTTCGGAAGAGGCGCTTCATACAATTATGATAGTACTTCACTTCAAGAAATTCGTTAATCATACAATTGTATTTCGCGCCTCGTCCTCGAGATCCATAGTTCGCTGTTTCAAGTTATTTTACGGTGAAATTTACGCTAAGAATATTCAGCATCGATGTTCTGTTTAAACAATGTTTTAATGTGAAACGTTTCTTCCAAACACGTACAAAATAACAATAATAAAATGTTTATAAATATTTGAATACTTCCAGTTCTAAGCTGAGCTCAAAATCGCTAAAGCAAAGGACGAGCTGTCGTCTGAAATAGGGCGATTACAGAAACGAGCAAAGGTTCGGGAGTTCTTTGTCCAACCAGCTGTTTTTAAAACGGCATCAATGTTGACACCAATTCGCTGGGCAGCTGATGTTGGTACATGTCTTTATTATTATTATGCCCTCTAAAATTCTCCGTCTCTTTACCACAATCTTTTGAAACTATCTTAATCCATATAGTTAATGTCTGTTTTCCGACAGCCTTATGTAGTTTTTTATAAGAGATCCAAAGCTTCTTTTCTCCATTTCTAATATCCGCGGTTCTCTCTAAGTATACTTCCGCGCGGATGCCGGGCAAACGAGAGAATTTTCGTCATAAAAGGGAATTACTATCTGTTCCATTCCAATGGCCTCTTTCGTTGCATCGCGATGAGCTCTTTCGTCGTTACAAACAGCTCCCCAACCGGTGGTTGAAGCGTCGGAAAAAATCTCAACTACAGGACTAAAATTCATTATTCGATTTTTTTCATGATCAATACTCCACTCCATAATAAACCACCACTCTAGGTCATCCGATAAATTCGGCGACAATGTCATCAGAGCTTCATAGTTGTCGCTTGTGCCTTCCAGGGCCAGGAAACGCTCTCGCTCCATGGTCCTCATGTACACTCTCCCCATACGGATATATACTTAGCATGTGATTAGCGAATTTTGGGATGAAACAAATTTTAATCATTCGGGAACAGTTTAGGATAGTTTAGGAATGCATTTTCATAGTTTAGGAATTAATAGTTTATTAATAATTAATTATTTTCTATAAGGCGTATAGTTAGCAGATAGTACCATTCAATATCGATTAAATCAGTCTTAAACGATGTAAAATAATTTGGGAAGACTAAATAATGTGGATTTAAAGTTTAGGAATCAACAGTTATTTTTTCATTAATTCTTTTTCTAATTCTAACTGTGGAATCGATACGCATGCGCAGAGGGACAATAATCAGCTGTGCCCTGTTTACAGTATGAGGTTGAGTAAAAATAACGAAAGTAAACCCGGAAGATTATTTGTTTCATCATATGTGATATACCCAAATTGAAATTGTATTCATTCCGCGCGGGAGAGGAAAATAAATTAAAGTGGAACAAATATTGTGGCACATTTTTATTCCCGAAAAAATTGAAAAAAAAACACTTTGTGTATGTACACGTAAGGGGAGAACGAGGTGAATTGAAGTTTTTCGCTTATAAAATTTTCTATTGAATTTTCTATAGGGAATGCGATGAATAATTCCTCTAGGATTTTTCTCTATACGCTTTTCTCCATAAGATTCCATATGGTTTTTTTTGCATATTTCATTATGCCATAGGTGCCGGTGATCACGCGATTCTAACCCCGCTTCGCTTGGTATAATCGCGGATTGCGGGCCCCATGACATACAATAGTATCGAAACAATGGATTTTTGGCTCGTGGAATTGTAAAACTCACCTTTGACTCGGGTTACAAACCTCCCACAGACCGAGAAATCAATTATGCACTTGTAGTTGGTTACTCATGAACCATGGAAAAATGCTATCGAAAATCCGATGGACCATTTTCATATGTGAATGTTGACCTACTTATTCATTATTTTGAGTAAATCCTTTTCTTTAAAACTCAATACTCCTGGAAAATTGAATAATTTTTACAATTTTATTATTTTATAATGGATTCCAATCTTCTTAATGTGTCGCCAATATTTTTTTGCATTTGAAATTTCCATAATAGATCATGAATCAATAATTCGTTTCTTAGAGCAGGATTTTCTCTCATCTTAAACAGTCTGACTTCCTACTATCATTGAATCAGCCGCTGTTTTGTCACCAGATTCTTCCTGATTATGTGCAGGTGGTTAGACTTTTACCATTTTTGTGGAGTAGGTAGTGGAACAGCACATGAGGACTCCGAGTTTCACCAGAGATGTCCTCGATGAACGCTCCTCACATCTGATGGTAGAGTATTGTCATCTCGTTCAAAGTTGTGCGCCAGGAAGGAAGGGCCGCTTTCGATTTAGGTTTGTAGAATATTTCACAAATAATTTTAGATGTTGCAAAGATGTCTTGATTGGATATTTTTCTTCAACATTTCAATTCTTACAGTTACTTGGTTGTATTACTGGAAGTTATTTCTGCTTCTTCGAAGTGAAACTGGATGTTTATGAAATATCCCATAACCCTGACGATTTTCATTATTATTTTATTATGAATTCCTAGATTAATTTCTACAAAGAATTTTTCACCAAATTTTTCACTACCTTAAACGCTATCGCCAACTATTTATCGTCCTCAGGTCCAGCAAACGTAAAACGTGGCGAAAGCGTCTCCTTCTTCGGACTTCCGTTGGGCTTCCAAGCCTATTGTGAAAGTGAACCTTTGGGACAATCGCTTCTATGAAATCGCTAATTATTCAGGAACGGGGAGTTCCACTCTGGATATTTAAACTCACGATATGCATCACTAGTCTCACGAAGACGTTAAACATCTTTTAAATGGCCCTCAATAGAGATTGTACGATTGTAAAAGGCTATCCACGAATCCTCGAGTTGGCAATTTAAAAGGCAAAAAACAAAATGAGTCATAAATTTAACATTTGAATAAACTAAGATTGAATACAAAAAACCACGGACAAGCGCACTTGGAAAATTCAAATGGAATTGTGTGAAACACGCTATCAAAGTTCGATGCTTAATTGAGAAGCCTTGAACCAATGCTTGTGTAACAAAATTCATAACAAAAAATTCAAATTCATTCAAAGTAAAAAATTGAAATAATGGTAAATGCAGATAACGAGACGATAAACGGCTGTAAGAGTTCCGAAGCAAAGGGAGAGAATGCTCCACCCACTGTTTACAATTAATCATTAATTTTTTTTTGCTGATTATAATATGGCCAGAACAATAACGAGAACCTGTAGTAGTAGCTGATATTTGTTAAGGTGATAATGATGATTCAAATCATTAAAAAATATGTAAAACGTCAAGTTATGTTTTATTTTCTCGTTACTTACTAATCAAGGATTCAGGAAGTTATGGAATTCAAATAGTGAATAAAAGGTATTGGGGATTGGAGATTAAATACTTTCTTTACTTGGTTGGAAAACTGAATCAGGAATAAGGAAAGTTGGAAAATCATTTCTTTTTTTTTCTTCCTATTTTATGAGTGGAAAATCTTTTGATGATAAACGCTCGAAAAAACACAAGAAGTATACAAATATGTAATGAAGTGAATGAGAACAAATTAAAATATCTAATTGATTGAAAATATAAGATATAAGGATACAAGGATGAATGAGTTAAGAACGATTGGATAATATGAATTTCAATGGTGCCGTGTCATTTGCGAAAGCGTTCGCTCCTCTTCGAGTGCGTGAGATTCAATCAGTTATTATAATAGGGAACTCGATTTGGAAAGAACAAGAAAAGTAGCGAAAAAAATGTTAAAAAAAACTTTGGAAAAAAGAAAGAAAATAACGATGATACCCGAATGACAAAAGTGCGTGTATATTGATGAGAATAAACGCATACGTGCTCATACTGCGAATAGATGTTATATATATTATTATGAAGATGCTACATTAAATGGCAGACGCGATGTTGAATAGATACTAATATTGAATAGAACTAATAATATAGAACTAATATAGAACTAATATTCATGGAAATATGGGGGAAGTACGTCAGACCATGGTGTTTCATCCACTTTATCTCACATAACAGAATATTCCCTTACATCCACATAAAAGGATTCTCGAGCTTCACCTTCACTCGGTTCATCTTATCTATCGCACGAACGAGCAATCGTACGTTTGTAGCGAATATCGTCGTACGTTTGTAGTGAATATCGTCGAGTAGCAGGAAGGCTCATAATTATGTCAGATGCAACTGGAACTTTAATTAATGAATTTCACAAAGCTGAAAATTGGAAGCTAAGAGAGCGAAAGCCCGGAAAAATAAAAAATAATTGCAATCGACTATTCTTTTTTATTTTAATCCTAATCGTTTAAATTTGTCTCAAACTATTCGAATCGGATCAACAAACAGTGAGTTTTACTATTAAATGTTTAGTTCTGCAAGTAATTGGCATTCATCTTTGTATTTATTATACAAATACATACGTATAGCACCTGGCAATGAATATCAAATTAAATATCAAGAAATATCCAAACACTTTTATAAATATTGACTTAAAAATTCAAATACTGTCGGTTAGAGCTCTTACATTAAACTCGAATTGAGTTGTTCAAACTAAAGAAGTGAACCTTATACTAAACTTTTAGGATATAACAGTCTTTTTAATTTCTTTCTCGTAACAATCCCATCACAGCGAAGTTTCCCACAAATAAACGTTACATCAATCTAATAGATTTTCTCGTCATTTTTTTTTTTTCGTTTGATGTATCACTTAACTACTTTCTCATACTGCACTGAATACGTCAGCTCGGCAGGTACTTTTCATTCCATTTAATAGGCAAATAGAGATAGCACCAAATGGGATCACATTAACATTATCACCTTCTGTGCGAGGTCCTGAGCCCAAATCGTCGACTTATAGCCAATCGCCAGTTCTACGTCGGCAATGAGCTACAAAGTGCTTCATTTTAGGCTGAAACTCGATTACCCCTATTAATCTGAAAGCAGAGAGCAAAGGATGGATCAATAACTGATCAACTGTTAGAGCTTCAGCATCAAAATCACTCACCTATAGGTTTCCCTTATATCCAATTGAACAGGCATATCTCCTATAGCTTAGTATAGCTTGCATGCTAATTTTTTGTTAGCGTTGCCTTTTCTGATGTCGCGAATATCTAGCTCAATGAACAAGGTGCACAGACAAGTGTCTCGTTCACTGTACCTCCACAGCCGACTTTTTTGCACTGCCAAGTTAGGAATGCGTCAATTGCTTGAGGCAAGCCCTCTCTGAATCCTTTATCGGAAATTATGCGATGATTAAGAGCCAAATCATACAGCGGCCCCGAGGTCCCGACTGGACAGTAAATGTTGTTACACTCACTTCGACGGTGTGCCACTGGTTCACCATAGAATTGTTTCCAAATCTTCGTAAGGGTATCCTCACAATCCAAAGTATAAGGATCCAGAGAAGTACTATTTCGAGGTCTTCTTACCGCATAGTGATTGCAGAGAAGAGCACATCGACGCAAAAAAATTGTAGTAGTTACACCGTGCTTCAGAAAATCCGCAACAAATTTTAAAAAATCGTTGCTGGAATTTTCAAGCAATAGAGCATACTTGGGGTCGTCCAAAGCAGCGTATTCGAGTACGTGTGCTAAACTATCAAACCCACACGTCCTCACCAGTTTAATTGCTATCCCATTTGACGATTGGACAAACCGAGCCATTTGGTAGAAATGCACCCTTCTGCCACATACTCCATTTTTATTAGAAATTTTGATTTGTGGGCATGGAACGAAATAACTACCTTTTTTCTTCCCTCTAGACGCTTTCCGACAGCCTTTAGGGTCATTATCATAATATTCGGACGTTAATGGAGTGGAATTGGATTTTGGGACATACTGACATTCTTTGTTCAAGGTGCTTAAGAAGCCTGGATCAGTGTCAAGCAAACTTGATGAATTGTTGCCAACTCGATTGTTGTTTATCAATTCTTCGTTTGCATCGTCATCAAATTGATTATTATTGTTATCCGTAGCTGACGAATTCTCCTTCGCTAATCCAAATGAATAATCCTCCTCAATATTCAAAATTTCAGAGCAAATTTCGCCCGTATTCATATTTATATCAGCAGAAAAAGTCTGCGAACTTCCAATCAATGTAGCATTGTGGTGATAGTCACTTTTGCAATAATCGTTCATTTTTCCTCGCCATAGCATTTTTGCATCAAATTCTGAGTCTTCCCAAGGGTTTTTCAAATCAGTAGTGACATTGTCATTTTTCTGTGTCCCAGTCTCGGGAAAAGCTCCAAATTCGTCGGGCTCTGGTGGAAAACGAGCAGTGACCTTGTCATTTTGCTGAGACCCAGTCTCGGGAAAGTCTTGAAATTCGTCGAGTTTGGGTGGCAGTGAGGATTTTTCCTTTGATCGATGAACAAAATCTTTCAACTCAGCTCCTAACTCATCTTGATCACCAGCAATGTCATTCAGATGCTCCTTAAAGAATTTGTGGAGGTTGCAGGGGAGCGTTATATGGCCGAATATACGATTTTTCAATTGATTAAAGTACCCCTCTTGAGCAGCTGTCGAAGCGTGATCGGGTCCATAAGAATCTGGTAGAACCGCTGAGCTCCAGAGAGGGAATTCTTTAGCGACTCTCTCTAGCTGGTCGACGATCGGAGGGAAGTAAAGGGCATTCTCTGTTTCGCCTGGAATGCTCTCTGGATTTTCAGGTGTTACCAAACGAATCAATCGTTTGATCCGAGCGTGTGCAACTGATGAGTTCAATGCAGTGTTTTCTTCAGGTAATTCCTGGACATTGGGTGGGACTTCCAGCATCTCATTATTACTTAGGTCCTGAAGATTATTAATTATGGGTCCACGCAGAGAAATCCATTCTTCTAAATTCATCCGTGCCAGCTCCGCAGTCATTTCCGATTCCCCTACCTCTAGCATGTGGCCACTGCATAAAGGAACTGCATTTGGAAATTGAATAGGATAGTCGTTGACGGGAATGAGAGCATGTGAGGATGAACACCAATTGAAATTCTCTGAGAGAATTGCAATCTACTAAGAGAGCAATTACTCTCATGTAGAATCGTTTCAACCTAAACCTGCTCTTATGTCGCCAGCATTCCAAACGAGCAGCAGCGGCCATAAAATGGGCTATGTCAATGCGAATCACTGTCATGGCTGGAAAAAGCTTTTCGTCCTTCAAAAACCTTATCCACGTATTGCTTAATGGTCATTCCATTGAATGCTTGGCAGTGTGCCAACATCAGGGCGCGTTCTTGGTCACTTATGGCTTCACGAGGTGCAGAAACTTTACATGATTTAATCCATCGGCTTATCCAATAGATTAAGAATGGTGCGTCTTGTCGCTCTGTTACTACCTGGTATACGGGAATCGTTCTCCGTTCGAAACTGATGGTGATTGTATATAAAAATACATGGCCTGTTGATAGTCCAGGAGCTTTTTCGAATTTATTAATTATAGTTCCAGTTGCATCTGACATAATTTTGGGCCTTCCCGTTATTCGACGATATTCTTTATAAACGTACGATTGCTCGTTTGTACAATAGATGAGATGGAACGGGTGAAGGCAGAGCTCGATAATGTTGGAAGAATACTTAGGGTCCACCAGAAGATCCCGAATAATCGTGAACTGATCCCGTTTATCTCCTTTAGGAATTCCGTAGAACCGTTTGACAGCATCTGCTTGGGCTTGACGATAGATATATCCTTTTCTCACCGTCGTCGGAATAGACTTTCCAAATTCCATATTATGTCGCAATAATTCTTTTCTATAATTTTCTGGTTGCTTTTTGATCAGATCGTCTCCAACGTTAATTCGCTCAGCGCCATTTAATGGACGTTTAACATCTTCGTGAGGTTGGTGATGAGTATCGCGAGCTTGAATTTCTAGAGTCAGGTTTCCCGTTCCTGAATAATTTGCTGATCCATAGAAAAAATTGCCACATATTTTACTTTTGAATTGGGCTCGGAAGTTCACCCTGGTTGTCCCGTTCTCTTCCTTCATGACTTGAGACCATTTTCCAATGAATGCGCAGGGTAGATTGTACCTCCAGTTAAAGGCATTGCCGATTTGGTTGGCCCACTGTCCTGCCTTCAACCTCCTCATCGTGGACTGTCGACTGTCATCCGGCTTGATCAAGTCCCAGGTTTCAGACGACAATAGCACATGGAAGTGTTCTAAATTAGCATCATCGGAGAAAGCACCATAGTCTTTGAAAGAACTCTCGAAATCGCTGCACACTGGAATGGTATCGGAGGTCTCACAATCACTGTGTCCTAATTTTTCATCAGTTTTCCGCAGCGCTGGCGGTTCAATGAAGACACCACATCTCTCACGAGCAGCCTGCAAGTCGTTTCGCTTGGTCTCAGCCACATGGGTATACACTGTATGAGGTTTCCATCTTCCTCCCACTGGTTGGCTGATCCGCTTGCACACTTCGTGGCCTGTCGGTGGAATATGGATTGTTTTAAAGTAATTCATTTCCTTGATGAAAAGGGCGATGGCTTCATCACTTGGCACCTTTGCTGGACGCCCCATGACCTGAAGACAATAAATTAATCGTTGTGAAATGATCATCAAAGAAGGGTATTGTACAAAAAAATGTTGAATAAAAATATCTAATCAGGAAATCTAGGATTTGCAACATCTAAAAGTATGAGTGAAATATTGTACAAACCTAAATTAAAAGCAACCAAGGCTCTTCCTTCCTCGTGAATAAGATTTAACGAGATAACGATATTCCACCATCAGATGTGAGCAGCGTTCGTCGAGGACATCTCTAGTGAAACTCTGAGTCCTCATGTCCTCATGTGCTTTTCCGCTACCTACTCCGCAAAAATGGTAAAAGTAATGACCACCTGCACATGATACGGAAGAATCAGGTGAAGAAACAGCAGCCGATTTAACGATGGTACGAAGTCAGAAATTTTTCATAGAATAATACAAAAGTAAAAATTATTGAATTCTCCAGAAACATTGGGTTCCAAAGGAAAGGATTTACTCAACATATTTTCACTTGACAAATGTAAAAAGGCTGAATGTGAAGGGTCATGAATGTATGGAAATGGTCCATATAGGATTTTCTATAAAATTTTTCAATGGTTCATGAGGAGATGGCAGCAAGTGCGTGATGGATTTTTTAGCTCGCGGAAGGTTTGTGACACGAGTCGAAGGTGAACTGGACAATCCCGTGAGCCATTTCACACACGTGTTCTGATACTATTTTATGTCATGGGGTCTGCAATCCGCGATTATACCGAGCGAAGTGAGGTTAGAATCGCGTGATCACCGGCACCTATGACAGAATAAAATATGCAAAAAAAACCGTATGGAATCTTATGGAAAAAAAGCGTACAGGGAAAAATCCTATAGGAATTCTTCATCGCATTCCCTATAGAAAATTCAATCGAAAATTTTATAAGCGAAAAACTTTAACTCACCTCTTTCTCCCCTCACGTGTACATACACAAAGTTTTTTTTCTCAATTTTGTCAGGAATAAAAATGTGCCACAATATTTGTTCCACTTTAATTTATTTTCCTCTCCCGCGCGGAATGAATACAATTTCAATTTGGGTATTTCACATATGATGAAACAAATAATCTTCCGGGTTTACTTTCGTTATTTTTACTCAACCTCATACTGTAAACAGGGCACAGCTGATTATTGTCCCTCTGCGCATGCGTATCGATTCCACAGTTAGAATTAGAAAAAGAATTAATGAAAAAATAACTGTCGATTCCTAAACTTAAATCCACATTATTTAGTCTTCCCAAATTATTTTACATCGTTTAAGACTGATTTAATCAATATTTAATGGTACTATCTGCTAACTATACGCCTTATAGAAAATAATGAATTATTAATAAACTATTAATTCCTAAACTATTAAAATGCATTCCTAAACTATCCTAAACAGTTCTCGAATGATTAAAATTTGTTTCATCCCAAAATTCGTTAATCACCTGCTAAGTATATATCCGTTCTCCCCATACTTCAAAGTCCCACAACAGGAGCGTTATGTACCGACAAACGATGCAAATTTTCGAATCTTACAATTCTCCAATTTTTGAAATTTCTTAATTTCTTGTTTCAGCTTGGATTGTTTGTCTGAGGGGAGTTCAACAACCATTTCCTTGGAATCGTAATTATTTCCTGAAAACCTTATACGAATGGCAGGCATCTGCTAACTCTTTTTCTCGTTTATGAAAAAACCTAATCTCTCCAGTAAGTCGTAAATGGCTTGAAAATTTTCTTGGCATTTCTCAAAAGATCCACCCAATATCAAAATATCGTCTAGGTAAATCACCGACATATAACCAGGCGAGCGCAGTGTAGACGTACTCAATCCAAATGGCAAACAAGAAAATTGATATAAATGTCGATTGAAAATAAATCGTAAGAATTTTCGATGCGACTTTTCGACCGATATCAAATATTAAGCATCTTGTAACTCCAAAGAAGCCATAAAACAATCGGGGAACAACAATCGTTTAACAATTTTCTTGTCTTCTAATTTGAAATATTCCGGCTCATTTATTGAGACTTTTCAAATTAAGGATAAACCGCTGAGAGCCATCTGGTTTGAGGACTAAGAATATCCGTGAGACATACTGTCCACTACATCGAAGACCTTTTCTATGGCGCCTTTCTGAATCAACTCATTCAATTGTGTCTGAATTACAAGGGCATCCTTTGGTGTCCATGCCGGCTCAGATGGTGTGAAATTCTGAATTACTTTTGATCTAAACGGAATCTTGTATCCTTTAATCCAACTCAAGATTAGTGGACCAGATGTGATCTCCAGCCAACTTGGCAGAAAAAACCTCAGTCTACCAGCCAGAGAACTCACCACGCTTAATCCTGCTTCTTCAATGCCATACTCTTGTTGTTGCTGCTGCTGTTGATACTGGTGATTCGTCGAACTTTGACCTTTGACCTTATCTTTGGGTGAAGTCTTTCTTCTATTTCTGGTGATCGTTCCCGCGTCCGCCCGTCGACTGATTGTTCGATCTGAACGTCTGGCGACGACGCGCGCCTCTCGAGTTTTTGCGCGTTGCTGTTTTGCATTTAAAGAGGATTATTTTCCAATTCTCTACCAGTCTCACGAACTGTTTTAGCTTCCTTAATATCTTCAGCTAACTTTTTTCGGAAAAGCCACTCATCGACTGCCGTCATTTGGAGAGCCTGTTTCATGCTCGGTTTCACATTTTTTTAAATGAGTGCCTGGCGAACGTTCGACTCCACATACTGAAAATCGGACAGCAAGTGTACAGTGCCCCACAGTAACTCGGTGATCTCGGTGAGGAATATCTTTTCACTTTCTTTCACACCAGAAAGTTTCCTGATCACTTCTAAGAGACCCGAAATGCTGGCCGCAATTCTTTCTTGCTTTTCTACAATTCGCTTGTCTCGCTTAGTCACTGTTTCTGGGAGAAAAGAGAGAGCTCCATTGAGCTTCGGAGGGTCCAAAAAAATACAATTCTTTGGCATTAGGAATTTCTCAAATAATGCTTTTCGGTTTTCTGTAGGAAGACCTTTTGTCACTACCTTCTCAACGCCCACTGCCAACAATGAGTGAATTTCCTGGGCGAATTTTCGTTCTGGATGAATTCTCTCACCAATAGCCTCTATGATATCTGGGCATAATTCTGCTTCCTGAGGAGTTGGAGCTAGCGTAGCCGTTGTGGCTGTAGCAGTGACTGGTCCGGTTACCATCGGCATCGACGAGAATGGGACCGGTGCTGCCATCTCCGTTATCCCGGGCGTCGTTGATTGACTTGCTGACCATCAGGTCGGGAGTCTCCATTGCCTCTCCCTTGGAGATCTGCATCTGTCTGTGTGTCCTCCTCAACAAAGGATTTATTGTCATCCTTAGGGGGATCGTCGAGCTGCTACGAACCTGGCGACGCGTGTCTGCTTGTCTGATACTCGAGATGCGCTCCTTTGGTGGCGATGACTACGAGATCTGGCTCGACTGACATTTCTTTCATAGGAACGACTGCGAGATCTGTTACGATTGCGGTTTCCCTGATGGGAGCGGGTGCGAGATCTGTCTCGAGGTGGGCTTCCGTGGTTGTAACGTTCAACACTGAATCCCTTCATCGACGATCACAACTGATACTTCGCCTGTCGTGAGAATAATAGCGATGATAATGAAAATCACCAGCGTCGTAGTCGTATTACTGGGCCAGCTATTGCGTCGATAGACATCTCGATAGTCATCCTGGTGCGGGCGTCGATATCCACTTTCCTCTGTATACCCTGGTTTATTCATAAACAAGGGGAAAAAATTGTGAGTTAGTCCCTTTGCTCAAATCCAACTAACAAGCAGGACTGAAAAGAAGAAAGGGCTGATGGCAGAGAACACTGAGGAGCACGTTTAACTTCAAACTCTAACCCAACCGGCAAGGAGGGTTGAAGAAACGAAACAAAAAACAAGAGAGGGCCCCTGAAACTTTCTCCTTGTTCTTCTTTTTTTTTGGCGTCGCAGGGGGGGGGGGGCATGACAACTTATCTATGGCACCTCATTACGACTGCAAAGCGAATAACTAAACTAGAATGTTACCACGATTAATCGCTTCAATCTCTTTTTCTTGGCGATAAACTGTTTCTTTCAGTTGTTTCATCTTCTGTTGCCAGTCGTCGTCCTTCTCGATTAATGAACGTTTTCTCTTTTCACTCGGCATTATTGTTGCTGAATATTCTCTCGACTTATGACTGACTCGGCACAAAGAAAGAGAATGAGTATACGCAGGCCTATAGGTCAGTCCCCGAAAATTTGGGATACTTTAAAGACTTTGTGGCGACATCGGTGTAGAGTGCGACTACTACCTATGGATCTCTAGGAAGAGGCGCGAAATACAATTCATCTGAGTGTAATGAAACCAGCAGTGGATGATTTGGACGTTAGGATAAACGTACAATTTCTCAAGCCGATCTCGTAATCTTGGCAAACCACTGTTCTTACAATGTTTGGCGCTAAATGATTTTTGAAATATTCAAGAACGGCTATATACGCTTATTGCGACTTCCGCGTCATTAAGGCCCACGCCAGTGGTACAGCCTGGAAAATATGTCTTGAATTATATGAATTTACAGTTGAAAATAAAAATACCTCATAAATAAATCAGTAACTCACTTCATTATTTAACATTTCCCATTATTGTTAACAATTGATGTATTGGGAGTTGTTTGGGACATACGTTGAAGGTGGCATCGACATTCAATTTATGAATGTCATTTCGTGATTGAAATCACGATCCCCAAAAATGGTCAGTGTCGTCGTCGGATTGACGACAATGGTACGGACAGTGAGATTTCCTTGAGGGTACTGGCGATAGTTTCGCCATGTCTCTCTATTTATTATATTCACATAATGTTCTAGTGTTTGAGGCATAGGCGGGTGCCTCTCACTGTGCGATCGCCCCATGGATCTTCCAATTGATACAAATGTTACAATGCTGGCAGCCGTGATGTGATTAAAAAATGCCAAATACAAGGAGGATAGTGCAAACTGAGATAGCGGAATTTTAATAGTAACTATTTTCAGATATTAACTAACCATTTCGATGTGGATCGTTATTATTGCTTCAACGTGGAATTATTTTTCTCACAATGAAGATAGCATAATTCTTATAATTCTTCCTTTCTTACATTTCTTCAGATTCTCTACAAAAGAGATCTTTATCGCAATTTGTTGACCTTGCTTAAATTACAAGTATCTTAATATAAGAAGGAGAAAGGAAATCGATCTTGAAATATCTTGATTGAGATATCTTGAGATATCTTGATTGACCATAAGCATAAGACCCGTAAGAGGAAAACGACCCTTCATCACGATTCCGCGGATAAATCTCAAACATTTCGAATCAATGCGTCTGCGAATCGCGCGCGGACGATCTTGTTAACTAAAACCTACCAAATGGACTGTTATCGCTGGACTTGACTCACAATTTTTGTTTACAATGCAGAATCTTAAAAAGTCTTACAATTACAATTCTTACAATTACCTTTTCTTCATGCAAAAAAGTAACTTTCTAAACACGCATTGTCATCATAAAATAGAAATCGTTCGATACTTGTGAAAAAAGTAGTTTTTGGCGGTTGGAAGCGTTATAGCACGAGTCGAAGACCAGCAATAGGAGCCCAGAAGCCAAAAACTATTTATTATAAGGATCAAACGATTTTTTCATCCCAATGTGTGGAAACGGTTTGTTTTAGGCACGCGAGGCGTGCCAGAAAAATTACTTTACAGTCGCGTAGTTTTAGTCGCGTTACAGTGTGTTGACAAAGAATTTTACTTAATTAAAAGAATTCGATATTGATAATTCTGTAGAATTTGAGAAAGCCTGCACTCTATTTTTTCAATAGATAATGTATATACAGAATACTCACTTTAAAGCTACTCGATCATAAATTACGCGATGGTCTTCGTCGGAAGAAACTCTTGCAGCCTCTAATTCTTCTTTAAAGGCTTCACAGTTAATTTCCTCGAACACAGCAAGGGGAGAGTGAGGTTTCGTCAGGACTATTTGGTCGGTACCGTCGAGAATATAGCCTCTAGCTGTACAAGGTCTATCTCGAGCCCCACAACAATGGTAAAAACTGCAATTGAATGTTCGTAGTATTTGAAACATTTTCTGAATGTGCGGCAATTTGTCATAAATACTCACCTCTTCCCTGGACATTTCGTTTATATACGATAACGATGCGCATCCTCTGAAATGAATATTCCCCCATTTCTTCCCCTCGGACCTCTAGGCATTGTCACCCAACTGTTAAGTACGGCAATAGGTGCGAAATAGAACCAATTAATCGATATGATCCTCCAACTGCCAAAGCTTTTGTACTCTAATATGTCCACCGGTCCAGTTGATCCGGCTATTCTGATAAATTCACTGCACGGACGCACGGCCAGAATAATAACAATCGATTAATGTATAATCGATTCTATGGAAAATTTTCTATTTAGGAGAAAGCTATGTTGTCATCTTAGGGGGTAACGCAGTTCCCCTTATATTAAAAGAGCTATTGCTCTTCATTCATTTGTTATTCATTTGTTTCAATTTCGATCCGACGATTTTCAATGCTCGAATTGGTTTCAATCAAATGACAAATTTTGTCTTCTTTAATACCGGGAATCCCCGATGTTTCCCCGAAACATACGTCCTATATATATTTCCTCGACATAGGGTCGAGGTAGGTTCAAGTCCCGGTCTGGACTATCCATTTTTTCAGTAATTTTTCTCGCAAAAATTATATGGAGAATTATCCTGTTCCCCTTCCTACCTCATCCAAAATCCCCTCCAACGACTCCTTTGACGTCACAAAGATGTGGAACGCTATATAAACTTCCCTTCTAAGATGTAAAAATGTATGCCGTATGAAGGACGGCGGTGCTCCATATAGGCAAGAAAAGTGAATGGAAGAAATGGCTAGGAGCCGGATAGCTCAGTTGGGAGAGTACCCGATGCATAATCGGAAAAAATCGGATTTTTTTTCATTTTCTATGTTTTAGGCCTTAGACATGCCTGAATAAAATTTAATAATTATTTATGTGATTAATTGTGTTTCTGTGTCAGGTCTTATTTACGCCTGAGGAAAATTTATTTATTATCATTGAATTATTTGCATTATATTTGAATCTGTGTCAGGTCTTACATGTGCCTGAATAAAATATATCTGTGTCAGGTCTTACACGTGCCTGAATGAAATTGAATTATTATCATATTCATTAATTGAATTGTATTTGAATCGTTGTCAGGTCTTGCATGTGCCTGAAGGAAATTGAATTATTATCATATTTGTTACTTGAATTGTATTTGAATCATTGTCAGGTCTTACATGTGCCTGAAGGAAATTGCATTATTTTCATATTTATTATTTGAATTATATTTGCTGGCAAAGAATTGGAATTTGACAGTTTTTAACGTATGTTCTCAGGAGATCGTCCCTCGTTATCGCGGTTTTTACCCTGTCTTAATATCACAGGTCAGTTCGTTTATAATCATTAGGTTTTCTTGTATCTGTGGGCTCCTTCTAGGTCCCGAATTATTTGTGTTTCGTGGGCTCCTTACTGGTCCCGTATTTATTTGTTTATTTGTATTTGTTATAATGCTTGTATTAAACTTAGTGACCGGCGACACCAAGATGATAATTTTTGGTTAGACTCTGTGGACATAATTATTTACTTCTTTTATTCGTTTTGCTTGTTGCCTTCCATGTCTTCTTATTATTATAAGGCATTTGATAATTTTAATTACTATTTTGCATTTTTATTGACATTCCACATTCGATTGAATTCGCTTTTGATTTTTCTCATGAAATTGGGATTGCATTATAATCATATTTTATTTAAAGCGTAGTATCATTGATACTTGTGAATTTTTATCATTTAATAATGTTTTAATTGCATTTTAGTAGTATCGATAATAGCGAATTTTATAATTGAATTATATATTAGTTACAGATGCGGTAGCGTTGTAGTTGCTGCTTGAACAGTAGAGCGGCGGTTGTTCGCCTTTGCATGTGAGATAGCCTTATGCGCTGTGGTGGAACTGTCACCGGTGGTTTGACAGCTGGGGTTATGTTGCCCATGGTAAGTAGTGTTTATCTTCTTATTTTATAATTAATGTATTATTTTCATTTGATTTATTTACATAATCGTCTCTCTCTTTTCATAGGTCTGTCTGGGTTGTTCCAGTATGCAGGTTTCGTCATTATAAGGGTAAGTATGCAAATATTTATTTTATTAATATTTAAACTATCTCTAACTCCTATCATAATTATTTTCAGGTATCTTTTGATTGTCATCGAAGCATTGGTGTGTTCAGGTGTTTGCTTCTTTTTCCAGTTGGTTGGTATATATTTTGTTTTCATATATTTATAATGCCAAATCTGTGCTTCATATTAACTATATTTTTCCAATAAATTTTATTTCAATGGGAATCAGCTTGTTCGTGTGATTAATGACTGAAATCGATCTTGAATTGTATTTATTAATTTTAAGCTCAAAATGCTTTTAGTATTAATTATATTTTTTTAATGAATTTTCATGTATCGGCTTGTTTGTTTCAATAAAACCTGAAGTTCATTTTTAATTGTGTTCTACGGATTTCCAATTAAATGCTTCCAGAATTAATGATATATTTTTCGATTAATTTTCGTGTATTGTAAATCGGTTTCTTCCTGTGATTGAAAATTAAAATTGGTCATGTGAATAATTATTAAAATTGTTCATGGGAATAAAAATTAACGTTGGTCGTGGGTCATGATCCCGAACCATAAATCGTTTTATCAATCATTTTTTTGTTAATGATAATTCTCTAAAAAAAAATAGAGAACACGTATGAATACGTGACATGCCCATTGTGGGAATAGTTGCTTTTGTCTGCAATCGACAAAAGCAACTAAAAAGTAGAAAAAAAATGTTACTTCCTAGTTGCACAAGCTTTTGCTTGTCGAGTACATTCTTATTTTTCTGTTTCCGTTGTGAGTTTCTCATTCTGGAGGAAAGGAAAAAAAAATTTTTTTTCAAATTTTCCGTCGTTTCGAAGGATATCCATGATGGTGTGGAATGCAGTTGCATTTGTCTGCAATGGACAAAAGCAACTGAAAAAGTCTTCTTTTCAGCTTTTATTAGTTGAATTTTGGAGAGGAATTCTCTGTGTATGAGTGAGTGAGTGATATGTATATATCCTTTCTGTCCTTCGTGTTACTCGATCGTCGATAATTTTGTTTAATTTCTTTTTTTTTTGTTTCAGAATTGGAATTGGAAGAATTGGGTCGTCTACTATGACAAGTACAATAATTATTTCGTGGTATTATTTAAGCATTAAGATTTATAGCTTCTCTGATTGGATTGTAATAAACGTGTACATATATAAATTTTGTACAGGAATGTATAAGAAAAATAGAATAGTTTTCTTCCTTATAACGTATTATGTCTAGTTATATGAAAATCATTTTTACAGTTTTCTTAAAATATTTTACGTTTTTTCTTTTTCTTTTCAGTCCGTTTTCATGACATTTGGTATACCTTATTTCTATTTCTTAATCCTAATCAGGGGACCCTCCAGGTCGTCACTTCTGGAGTATTTTCTGAGGCCAGACCTCACTTAAATCTAACTAATTATTTAAATTTCACTTCAAGTGTTTCCGTTTCGCAGTGTCTTGGGGCCATTCGAGTTTTTCGGGGTGGGTTTTCACAATTAGATAGTCACTGTGCTATTCACTGGTCTTTTTGGTTCATATTATAATTAGAGTTTCTGTTTTATTTTATTTTACACACTATTGTCGTTCCCACTCACGAGCGTGGATTGTCCTGTCTTTGATCCAAACCTGAGGGTTTTCGTCTTCCAGGTCGACTATTACTGGTTTCGGGAGGCGCCTTGGTGGTGGTGAACCGTGTCGGCGGGGAACTGTTGCCATTGGTAGGTTTCCGGGGTCCTGTCGTGCCCTCCTTCGAGCATAGAAATTTCTCAAGGCTCCCGTCGGTGGATATGGGTTTCGTGGGTGGTTCTGGTTAGGATGTTGATGTCGATGTGATGGGGCTGGTGGCTGGGATGTTAAGTGGTCCGGTCTCAATGGTACCAATGCCCTTGGTAGCTGTTGGGAACGTGGTGGTGATCCTTGTCGAGGCCTCTGCCGGTTATTTTGTTGCTGGATGTCAGGTCTCCTTTGTTGCCTATTGGGTTGGGCTTCACAAATTCGGCACTCACATGGGTGTTTCGGCTGGGGCGCGACATGAGCGATGGGTTTTCCCTTTGTGGCAGGGGTCTTGTGGGGCGACTGTTACGTATTCCCGCTTGATTTGATGTAAGGGGTAAACTGGGTGTTTCCAATTTCAATCTATTCAGAAATTACAGGATAAAATAAGGAAAATTTGGGAAGCCGAATGAAAAGAATAGCCGTCGAGCGGTAGCCGATTATCCTCTGACTTGCCGGTACTAGGTTGAAAACTCATTCCTATTTCGTCCTTTCTGACCCGGGAAAACGATAAAAAAAATTTATAATTTCTGAGTATCAATCGACCCCCGGGAAAAAACGGTTATTTTCACTCTACTCACCGTTTCTCGTATTTGTCTCGTGTCCAGAAAATCTCACTTCTGATTTATCTTATACTCGATTACAAGGTCGCCAGCTTCTCCAGGTCACCAGGTAGGTCCAGGTCAGTTTCTCAGCGTTTTAAGAGATAGCTGCTCCAGAATTTAGATTCGTATTTTTATGATGATGTTTGATTTTTATTGGGGTTTTAAGAATTTCGAGCGTCAAATACACTGGAAGATTGACTGCGCCGAGTTCGATAAGTATCTAGAAAGCATCCAATAAAATTCTCGTGGGGTTTCCTGGTAGTCCGTGACCGTTTTAAGGGCTGCGGTTACCAGTAACCGCGACAAATTTTTCAGGATGTTTTATATTGATACCTTTTTAATATCGCCGCACCATTACAGAAGTAAGATGTAGAAGTTTCTCTGAATACTTTTACCTGAAATTGAGAAAGACACCCCAGGGATTCAGCGGCACATCGAAGTGCAGAGTTTCTATCCCCAAATGAAAATCTTTCACCAATTCGTCGGCAAATTACTTATCGGTTAAGAATAGCAGTGGGGTGGCCTCAGTCGGGATGATAGTAGGAAATTCTAAAATCAGCCGAGTCAGTCCGCCACTAGTTATTTTTAACGATAAATTTCAGATTATTTCAGACTTCAGTTTTCCGTGGAGTTGACTCGTCCGCACAGAAACAGAAAATTATCTGAACTGTTGCAGACCGTCACCCGCGGAAATTAGCGAGCTAATATGGACCACCTCAATGAATGCGGCAAAGCCTCACCGAGTCAATCACCGGGAAATCCAGTCAGTTGCTCAGTCAGTCACCCAACAAATCAGAGGCAGATGGTCTTGCGATCAACAGCAGAAAATTGCAGATGCATTTTGAAACACAGTAACAGGAAACATCCTGAAAATGCCCACCGAAAACCAAACCTACGGCTTTCCTTTATTGACGGGCCTATCAATGAGTTTATTCCAACTTTTGTCACGTATTCATACGTATTCTCTATTTTATTTAGAGAATTATCATTAACAAAAAATGATTGATAAAACGATTTATGATTCGGAACCATGACCCAGGACCAACGCTAATTTTTCTACCCATGAGCAATGCTAATTTTTAGGAAAATATAATTATTACCAGAAGCATTTAATTGAAAATTCGTGAAACACAATTAAAAATCAACTTCAAGTTTTATT